GGCTGGTAATATGTTTAGATCCTGTTGATTATTTCAACTTTGTCTCATTGATTGATCCCAACAAAACAGACATGTTGACTGCCTTTTCTTCTTCTTCTTTTTTGATTGCCTTTTAATTACTAGACTCCCTTGTGAGAGGAAATGTAGAACACACTTTTTTTCTTAAGTTCTAGACATCTTTCTATTTCTACAATTAGTGCATTAGAGAGTTCTGAAGAAATAATTGATTTGTTGAACTGGCGCTATTTCCTTTTATTCTTTTATTTGTACTTTAGTGTGTGTTATAGATTTTAGTTTAATGTGAAGACACAGAAATGCTTAATGTTGATCCAGTGCTCCTCAGAAAGTTATTTTCAAATCTGTTAAACATGCCTATATTTTTCAGATTTATCCATATTGAATAGTTATGAATATAAGAGATGGAGTGGGTATTCCTCTAGATATTTTTGTTTGTTTTCAATATATCAGCAAATTGTGGACTCCCTCTTTATTTCCTTCATAAACTCATTTTGTATTATATCTGACTATACTCAGTTCTGATATTTATAACCAACTTGTTATTGAAGCCCTAGGAGTTACCTACTAACACGTGTGTTATCTGAAGCAAGGTCTAAGAAAATCTAGGAGAGGAGACCTATTTAGGGTATTAGACCACAGGAATCATCTCCATAATCACTAAGCTTCTCACCCTCACACCACTACTTCTAGATATTCTGTCCAAATTACTAGCATATTCATTTCCCTTTTCAGTTTTCCTTTCTCATTTTGGAGTTGGCCTTAGTAATTAACTCTACATAGAGTATCTAATGTTTAGGTGAAAAGAATTTCTACTGTAGGAAAGGAAAGTCTTACAACAAATGCCTCAATTTGTCTTGAAGTCAAGAAAATGTTAGTGTGTTTCGAGCATCTAGGATAAAATTATGCTGTGGAATTCCAAATTGAGAAAAAAGATTTAGCACATTTTACTTGAACTGAAGTTAGATTCACAGAAAGGATATGAGGTATTTTGCTGGAAGAGGGAGATGTTCCGTATTTTAAAAAATGTAGTCTAGTAGCCCTAGCCAGTGTGGCTCAGTTGGTTAGGCATCGTCCCCTGCACCAAAATGTTGCAGATTCCATTCCCATCTGGGCACATGCCTGGGTTTCTGGATCCCCAGTGGGGAGCATTCTGAGGGAGCTGATCTATGTTTCTCTTTCTCATTGATGTTTCTCTCTTTTCCTCTCCCTCTCTCTAAAATCAATAAAAATATGTTTTTAAAAATGTAGTCGGAACTAGTTAGGAGCTGGCAACCAAGATCTTGGAAAAGAAAAAGTTGGTTTTGAAACTTGAGATTAAGAAGGTTATTTTGACTCAGAGGTAGTAATAAAATGCAACATATGGTCCATTTAAATAAAAGGACAAATAAAAAGCCCTCACATTTCATGACACTAAATTCCTATGGTAACCTATTAGGGTATACTTTTATATTGTTTATTATGTAAGTGTAAAATACTTAATCCCTTTCACAAATCTTTTTTTTATAAGTAACAAGGAAGACTTGGTGTCATTAGCCATCCTTATCCTGAGTACAACCTATATAGCTTTACACTCTCCTCCAGTTTCCTGACAAATGGCGGAGGGAAATTAACCTGCACATAAGATTGAATCTAATACTAGGTGTCATTTCATGGCTGTCAAAATTCCCCCGTACCACTTGGGGGAGCTATTTTCTCACGTGGTCTTTGTTCTAAGTCAGAAGACTTTGCTTTGTCCTTCCAATATCTGCACTGCCTCTGATTTGAAAAAGACAAATTTTTATCAATGGTGGTTTTATGGTTCTTCTATGGGATCCCATCTCTAGGGAACTTTATTTTGAAGCAAACACTGGGAAACAGGCACTGGGAAACCAATTGCCTCCTTTCCTAGACATCAGTCCAACACAGCTATTGGTATACCGATTCTCATTATTTGCCAGGCTTCTGCCTGCAGTTTTCTAAGCAGACTCTGAGCGCCGCTGTTGGCCAACGTGCTGCAAGAGCTGGAGCCCAGGATTCACCGGGTGTTTTTTGTGTAGTCACAGAAGCAAGTAGAAAGGAGAGGGGCCCCGGACTCCGGCTCACTGTTCGGCAAATCTGATTCCGGAGTACCGACTGGGATGCCTGCAAACTGGGAGCCTTGAGTTTTCTCCGCGGTGGAAGTAGACATTTAAGCACAATTTGTAAAGAAAGCATCTTCTCAATGCCAGAGGCTGCAGCAGGGCTCAGAAGGATGGGAACGAGGGCGAAGAGGAGCAGGACCCCGCGGCGGTGGCAAGTACTCTTTCTCTTCCTGCTGCCTTTGTTCTGCGGGGCGCTCTCCGATCCGATCCGCTACTCTATTCCGGAAGAAATGGCTAGGGGCTCTGTAGTGGGGAATCTTGCTAAGGACCTGGGGCTGCGGGTACGAGATTTATCGACCCGCAACCTCAGAGTTAGTGCAGAGAAACAATACTTTGCCATAAACGCGGAGAATGGGAACTTACTTGTGAGTGACAGAATAGATCGGGAATCGCTCTGCCATCAAAACCCTTTGTGTGTTGTGCCCTTAGAGATTGTAGCAGAGAATCCTCTAAATGTTTTTCACATAAACGTGATGATAGAAGATATCAATGACAATCCACCTCATTTCCCCCAAAATAGCACTGTTTTACAAATCAATGAACTTGCAAGTCCAGGAACTCGGTTTGACTTGGAATCTGCTATAGATGCAGATGTAGGGCCTCACTCTCTCCAGAGTTACCAACTCAGCTATAATGAGCACTTTTCTCTGATGGTCAAGGATAAATCTGAAGGCAAGAATGCCCCAGAATTAGTGTTGGAAAGGCCCCTGGACCGGGAACAACAGAGCTCCCATCTCCTGGTCCTGACAGCGGCGGATGGAGGTGACCCGGTCAGAACCGGCACCACTCGAATTAGGATTGAGGTCACTGACGCCAATGATAACGCCCCAGTGTTCAGTCAGGATGTGTACAGAGTTAGCCTTCGAGAGAACTTGCCCTCGGGCACCTCTGTGCTAAAGGTGACAGCCACCGACCAGGATGAGGGCATTAATGCAGAGATCACGTACTCCTTCAGAATACTAGGGGATGTTGAAAATATGTTTATGCTAGACCATCAAAGTGGAGAAATTAAATCCAAAAACCCTTTAGATTTCGAAGTCAGTAGCAGTTATACCATAATCATGGAAGCCAAGGACGGCGGAGGCATGGCCACCAAATGCAAAATTATACTCGAAATTCTAGATGAGAATGACAATGCCCCAGAGGTGGTGTTCACTTCGGTGTCTAGTTCCATAACCGAGGATGCAGAGCGCGGAACGGTGATTGCTTTGTTCAAAACACACGATAAGGATTCCGGAGAAAACGGGGAGGTCATATGCCTCATAAAAGAGGAAGTTCCTTTTAGAATTCAGTCTTCCGCCAAAAATTACTACAAGCTGGTGACAGATGGGGCTCTGGATCGGGAACACATCCCGGAGTACAATGTCACTATCACAGCCACCGACAGGGGCAAGCCGCCCCTCTCATCCAGCAGAAGTGTCACCCTATACATCAGAGACATCAACGACAACGCCCCGGTTTTCCAGCAGTCAGCCTACCTGGTCCACGTGCCAGAAAACAACCCGCCAGGGGCCTCCATAGCGCAGGTCAGCGCCTCGGACCCCGACCTGGGACCCAATGGCCAGGTGTCCTACTCCATCGTGGCCAGCGACCTGGAGCCGCGGGCGCTGTCGTCCTACGTGTCGGTGAGCGCGCACAGCGGGGTGGTGTTCGCGCAGCGCGCCTTCGACCACGAGCAGCTGCGCGCCTTTGAGCTGACGCTGCAGGCGCGCGACCAGGGCTCGCCCCCGCTGGGCGCCAACGTGAGCCTGCGCGTGCTGGTGGGCGACCGCAACGACAACGCGCCCAGGGTGCTGTACCCGGCGCTGGGGCCCGACGGCTCCGCGCTCTTCGACACGGTGCCGCGCGCCGCGCAGCCGGGCTACCTGGTCACCAAGGTGGTGGCGGTGGACGCCGACTCGGGACACAATGCCTGGCTGTCCTACCACGTGCTGCAGGCCAGCGAGCCCGGGCTCTTCAGCCTGGGGCTGCGCACGGGCGAGGTGCGCACCGCCAGGGCTCTGGGCGACAGGGACTCGGCCCGCCAGCGCCTCCTGGTGGCCGTGCGGGACGGGGGACAGCCACCCCTGTCAGCCACTGCCACTCTGCTGCTGGTCTTTGCTGACAGCCTACAAGAGGCTCTGCCAGACCTCAGCGAAAGTCCTGAGCCCTCTGACCCCCAGGCTGAGCTGCAGTTCTATCTGGTGGTGGCCTTGGCCTTGATCTCAGTGCTCTTCCTCCTCGCGGTCATTCTGGCCATTGCTGTGCGCCTGAGACGCTCCTCTAGCCTGGCTACCTGGCGCTGCTTTCAGCACAGTCTTTGTACTAAGACTGGACCAGGGGTTTCTCCCAACTACAGTGAGGGAACCTTGCCTTATTCCTACAATCTACATGATGCCTCGGATTCTCAAAAAACAATGTTTAATTTTCTCTCTATGACGCCAGAAATCGTCCCGCCACAAGATCTTTCTAAGGAAGCATCCTTGATAGTAAGTGTCCCTGAGGAGAATAATAAGTTAAGCTCTAACTCTGTTGCTTCTACTCACAGGAGTTTTCAATGAATGCCTTTCATCTGCAAATAGTTTGCTTTAATTTTCTTTATTAACTACAAAGAGGAGAATGCATGAGAAAAGGCTTTTAAAGGGGGACTTAGGAATGATTTTATAATATTCCAGTACTCTTGCTAGGGATTCTTTGAATCTCAGTGAGTAGGTCAATTTTATGCCCTTTCTTTTCTCAAATCCACCTGTATATTTCTTCCCAATTTAAAAAAAAATATTATTTGATGGTCAGCCTGTCAAAGTGCTTATCCTCGGAATATAAATATTTACATTCATGAAGGCACAACAGTGAGAATTTTTCTTACATTTTAATGGGCTTCCAAATGTATTGCTAATAATTATCAGTAATTGGAATTAGGTTTGTTAACCAGAAAAAGGTAAGTGTATATTATTCTTTGGATCACTAATTTTCCTGCACATTCTTTTGGAATAGCATGGTTTAGTAGATTATAGAGTACTACCCTTATTTCTAGTAATTGCAAGTTGGAATGCTTCAGTTTTGTTCTAAAAATGTTAAATGGTAATGTGTATTCTATAAACGTCAAGTGATTTCCATAATGTGTACAATCACATTTCTAATTTTTACGTTTCCATATTATCATGAAAGCTTGGTTTTTAAATTTAAATGTCAACACCCTGTTTAAGCAGTTCTTTCATTTATAAAAATTTAAGAATCTATGAAAAATTTTGCCCCAACTTATAGATGCGTGAGGAATTTTAAACTATTCTATCATATGATTTCTCAACATGGAAAAGTCCTAGGGAGGTGTCCCATAGTAGGAATGTTGTGGGGGGGGGGGTATTGGTGATTTCAATGCAGGTACACTAAAATGAAGGAAAAAATTGCTGTGTATAGAAATTTCAACATTTAAAAGCTTGTTGGAATACCAGAATATGCCTACAGCTACAGAAAATAATCTTAGGAGAGTGGCCCTGTGTGAAAAGTTTTGATGGGGAAATAAAAAGAAGCTCCCTGAAGTTTCTATTAAAACAAACAAAAAAAATTGTCATTTTAATTGGCTTCACTGCCATCCCTATTTGAAGAACAGTAGGTGGAGCTATTTGAGGTCTGAAAACCAAAATTCTTTTCTCGGAGTTCAAGATTGTGCAGTAATTGGTTAGGACTCTGAGCGCCGCTGTTCACCAATCAGGGAGAGAAAAGCAGAGGGATCCTTCCTGCCGCTGTGCACGCGCCTGAAGCACAAAGCACCGACAGAACTAACCATCCCCTCCTGGACCGTGAGGAAACTGAACGGAGGGGCTCTGGTCCCCCAGCTGCGGGATTCCAGGGACGGACCTAGCGATCCTGACATCGACATAGTGCTCCAGGAAACTGACAATGATTCCTGTGCCACTGCACCAGGACTGCAGAGGGCTGGTCCTGCTGGGACTTCTCTTGGGGATTCTGTGGGAACCTGGATGCACCCAAATCCATTATTCGGTTCCTGAAGAGCTGGAAAGGGGCTCTAAGGTGGGCAACATCGCCAGGGATCTGGGGCTGGAGGCCTGGGAACTGCAGGAGCGCCGAGTCCGCATCGTCTCCGGAGGTAGGACGCAACTTTTCGCTCTGAATCCCCGCAGTGGCAGCTTGGTCACGGCGGGCAGGATAGACCGGGAGGAGCTCTGTATGGGAGCCATACAGTGTCAGCTAAACCTGGAGATCTTGATGGAGGATAAAGTGAAAATATACGGGGTGGTGGTAGAAGTGAGGGACATCAATGATAACGCCCCCTCCTTCCTGGAAGGTGAATTAGAAATTAAAGTGAGCGAAAACGCAGCCACTGGGATGCGGTTCCCCCTTCCCCACGCTTGGGACCCTGATATCGGGAGAAACGCTCTCCAGAGCTACGAGCTCAGTAACAATACTCACTTCTCCCTGGCGGTCCAAAGCGGAGCGGATGGGAACAAGTACCCTGAGCTGGTGCTGGAGCGCGCCCTGGACCGCGAGGAGAAGGCTGTTCACCACCTGGTTCTCTGGGCCTCCGATGGCGGCGACCCGGTGCGCACTGGCAGCGCGCGCATCCGAGTAACGGTCCTGGACGCGAACGACAACGCCCCGGCGTTCGCGCAGCCCGAGTACCGCGCGAGCGTCCCCGAGAGCGCGGCCGTGGGCACCACGCTGCTGCTGGTGAACGCCACCGACCCCGACGAAGGCGCCAATGCGGAAGTGACGTATTCCTTCCGCTATGTGGACAAGAAGGCGGCCCAGCTTTTCGAGCTGGATTGCAATTCAGGGGCAATTTCCACAAAGGGGGAGCTGGACCACGAGGAATCGGGATTCTATGAGATGGAAGTGCAAGCAACGGATAACGCGGGCTATTCCGCGGGAGCCAAAGTCTTGATCACGGTTTTGGATGTGAATGACAATGCCCCTGAAGTGCTTGTCACCTCTCTCTCCAGTACTATTGTGGAAAACTCTCCGAAAGGGACATTAGTCGCCCTCTTAAATGTGAATGACCAAGACTCTGGGGAAAATGGACAGGTGGTCTGTTTTATCCAAGAGAACCTGCCCTTTAAATTAGAAAAGTCTTATGGAACTTACTATAGTTTAGTGACAGACACGCTCCTAGACCGAGAACTGGTCGCTAGCTACAATATCACGGTGACTGCCACTGACAGAGGACGCCCACCCCTGTCCACGAAAACTCACATCTTCCTGAATGTCGCAGACACCAACGACAACCCACCCGCCTTCTCTCATGCCTTCTACACCGCCTATATCCCAGAGAACAACCCCAGAGGAGCCTCTGTAGTCTCCGTGACCGCCTACGACCCCGACTATGGAGAGAACGCCCAGGTCACCTACTCTCTGGTAGAAGACACTGTCCAGGGAGCTCCCCTGTCCTCTTACATCTCCATTAACTCAGACACTGGCGTCCTGTACGCGCTGTGCTCCTTCGACTATGAGCAGTTCCGAGACCTGCAGCTACAAGTGATGGCACAGGACAGTGGGGACCCTCCACTCAGCAGCAACGCGTCCCTGAGCCTGTTTGTACTGGATCAGAATGACAACACACCAGAGATCCTATACCCTGCCCTCCCCACTGATGGTTCTACTGGTGTAGAGCTGGCACCCCGCTCTGCAGAACTGGGCTACCTGGTGACCAAGGTGGTGGCGGTGGACAGAGACTCAGGCCAGAACGCCTGGCTGTCCTACCGCCTGCTCAAGGCCAGCGAGCCTGGGCTCTTCATAGTGGGGCTGCACACGGGAGAGGTGCGCACTGCGCGGGCCCTGCTGGACAGAGATGCGCTCAAGCAGAGCCTGGTGGTGGCTGTTCAGGACCATGGCCAGCCCCCTCTCTCAGCCACTGTCACCCTCACTGTGGCCGTGGCTGACAGCATCCCAGATGTCCTGGCCGACCTAAGTAGCCTTGAGTCTCCCGCCAACCCTGAGGACTCGGGCCTTACACTCTACCTGGTAGTGGCAGTGGCTGCAGTCTCTTGTGTCTTTCTCGCCTTTGTCATCGTGCTGCTGGCGCTCAGGCTGAGGCGCTGGCACAAATTGCGCCTGCTCCAGGCTCCAGGAAGCGGGTTTGCCGGCGTGCCCGCTTCCCACTTTGTGGGCGTGGACGGGGTGCAGGCATTCCTGCAGACCTATTCCCATGAGGTCTCCCTCACCGCGGACTCTGGGAAGAGTCACCTGATCTTCCCTCAGCCCAACTATGCGGACACACTCATCAGCCAGGAGAGCTGTGGGAAAAGCGAGCCTCTTTTGCCGTCAGGTGATTCAGTGTTTTCTAGAGATAATCATGCATTAATTCAGGTGAGTCCATATCAAATACTCTTCTCTGAGCTTTGAGCAATATATCTCTTATTATAGGTGATGAGTATGTATTGGGAATTTATAAAGCAGATACTAATAAAGTTATGTATACATGGCAGACACCAATGACAACCCCTCGCTTTCCCTCAGGCCTTCCCTCACACCTTATTTATAACAAATTTTCATGTACTTGTGTATGTTATATTAAAAATGAATATATTGCCGAAACTGGTTTGGCTCAATGGATAGAGCATCGGTCTTCGGACTGAAAGGTCCCAGGTTTGATTCCGGTCAAGGGCATGTACATTGGTTGTGAGCACATCCCCAGTGGGGGGTGTGCAGTAGGCAGCTGGTCGATGATTCTCTCTCATCGATGTTTCTAACTCTCTATCCCTCTCCCTTCCTCTCTGTAAAAAATCAATAAAATATATTTATTAAAAAATAAAAATGAATATATTATTCTACTTTATTTTTTAGAACATTTTTTATTAATTTCAGAGAGGAAGGGAGAGGTAGAGAAAGATAGAGGCATCAATAATGAGAGAGAATCACTGATTGGCTGCCTCATGCACACCCCACATTGGGGATTGAGCCTGCAATCCAGACATGTGTGCCGGGCTGTATCCACTTTATAAAATACTTGTTAAGAAACTGTCTAGTTTCACTAATTTAATTAACAAACTACAAAATTCTTCCTGCTTTTAATTGGTCTTATTTTTCATTGGCCATGCAAGAGTTTTATATTGAACATCTGATGCCAATTTATCTGATAAGAACGCAAATTCTTCTCAAGGAAGTAAATCTAATTTGATGAAAATGATATTTTAAATACATTTATAAATTGACTGACTTCAACTACACCTTACATGACAAATTCATAAAATGCATTTAGTTTCTTCTGGTCATTAGAGACACAAACATTTATACTTTCTCAGTGTGTTAAGTTATTTCATGGTTTCAAATCATTCTTGAGCTTCCAAATATGGTGAATTTATTTCTTACTTAAAACTTTCTCACTGAAATATGCAAATGCATAAGTGTTCTCATGAGGAAAAACTGAAGAGATGGGTTTTTTTTCACCCCCATTATAGATTTCGGGAATATAATGTCTGTATGTGTTTCCAGTTTAGATATTTCTTTTGCCCATTTTACCCACCCTGATTATTTTAATGATGACTTTGTGGAACACTAAGAGTTTACAAATTGTGTTTTGAGCACATTTTTCGGCACTTTGTTGGATTTGCAGTAGTAATTCTCTTTTCTTATGTTAAATTTCCCACAATGTTCACACTCACGGAATATTTTCTGGGGCATGCACAGATTCTAAATGTTTCCTGAAAAAAAAACAAAAAACCAAACGTATTCTTATTGTAGAATGTTGAAAAGAAATTGAATGCTTACATACTTATTCATAAGAAAACATTTCTGGAACCTGTGAGAAGCCTGATTTATTTTGGTTAGTCTGGAATAATGCAGGGAATAACTTCCTTCTTTTTTTCTTTTTTTTTAATTTGTTGCCTATCTACTTTAAAAAATACAATAGTTAATTAAACTCTAGACTTATAAAAGATATTGAAAAACATTTAGAGCCGAAACCGGTTTGGCTCAGTGGATAGAGTGTCGGCCTGCCAACTGAAGGGTCCCAGGTTTGATTAGGGTCAAGGGCATGTACCTTGGTTGCGGGCATATCCCCAGTAGAGGGTGTGCAAGAGGCAGCTGATCGATGATTCTCTCTCATTGATGTTTCTTTCTCTCTATCCCTCTCTCTTCCTCTCTGTAAAAAAATCAATAAAATATATATATTTAGAGAAAGAAAGAAAATCAAATGACCCTAGAATGAGACTGTTACTAAGATTCACATACAACTTTATGCTTCTTGACAACCAAGACAAAAAAAAAAAATCCAGAAATACAGTGTGGTTCTATTTGTGTATGATTTTTTAAAAGGGAGTTTTGAGTATGCAAGCTTTGTATAAACATTAACTTACAGATGGAATTTAAATAGCTTTCTAAGTAATTTTGAGGAGAATAGAGGGCAATGTCACTCCTGTAGTTTTGTAAAAGCTATCAAATTTTTTTTTATCACAGTGCCAGTTTTCATATGGTGGTCAATTCTGAAGGAAAGATGGAGCTCACAACAGAAATTATTTGGGAGGCTAACTAGTATTGTCCAAATATGCTGGCTTCTGTTCATTTTACCCGATTTAATGATAATCCTTAAGAGTAAGAGCAATGGTTAATCATGACCCGTAGGCTATATCTCAAGTATCGGTAATCTTAACTATGCTTCCAATTTGAGCTAATGGGCTTCATTAAATGGTTGTTGAGTGAATGAATGAACAAATGTATGCGCTCTGGGGATTACCTGATATCAGTATTCTAAAATGTAGTCTGATGGAAAAATAGCAGCTCTGCAACAAGGTAACTCCTAATGGTATCACCTTTGACAAGTTATTTAATCTCAGTTTCAACATAATGGGGATTACAATATATAATTTGTAAAATTGTGGTGAGGATTTATGATAACATATCATTGGTTCATAACATGCTTCATACGTAGTACCGTGTTTCCCCGAAAATAAGACATCCTCCGAAAATAAGACCTAGCGCAACTTTGGGAGAAAGAATTAATATAAGACATTGTCTTATTTTCGGGGAAACAGGGATGTACTTAATAGGCAGTAGCCATTTTTTTACATTGTTAATAAAAGGAGTCATGCTTTTAATGTCGGCACACTTAACATTCTTTTGGGAAAAGTAATAATCATGTGTGTGCTTCTACACATGGTACAAAGGGATAGTCTGTGGTGGAAGTAAAACATACTGTTCTAAAATTATTATGAAAGCTAATTCAAAAATCTTAAGTGCCTAGAAACATTCTTGACGGAAAAGCCCCTGTCTGTGGTCATAAAAGATAGGGAAAATACTTTATTGGGTGGGACAATTTTATGAGTGTTAAATTTTCTCTATCTGAACCATAGTGTACCCTAAACACGGAACATATTATTTAAATGGCTGATTTACCCCACTAGGATTGCTAGGATGACTTAACTGGAAAGTGGATTAGCAACCCTGAAAGTTGGAGTTGATTTTATTTGGACTGTGAGTTTAAGCTAATGGTATGCAGAATATTAACCCTAGCTTTAGGATATTTGTTGATAATTTCTCTGGTTCCAGCAATGAAATTATATCAAATGATAGAGGATGAGCTTTCTGTATACCAAATGGGAAGAGCTCTGGTATAGAAAATGTGAAGAAATTGCCATCAGATAGACCATAGACTCAAATAAAATAATTTATCTATATGCAAAAGAATCAGTACCTTCAAACTTTCTCATAGAGAAGTCATTAAAAGATCTACTCTGGTGTGGCCCGTGTGGCTCAGTGGTTGAATGTCTGCTTATAAACCAGGAGGACATGGTTCAATTCTGGTCAGGCTACATACCTGGGTTTCAGGCTCAATCTCTGGTGGAGGTCATGCAGGAGAAAGCTGATCTATGATTCTCTCTCATCATTGATGTTTCTCTCCCTCTCCCTTCCTCTTTGAAATAAAAAATTATTTTTTAAAGACCTACCCTGTAAATATTGAGGACAATATTAATTTACAATATCTTTTTTAAAAGTCATGTTTACTAATCTAGCACCATAATTCCAGTCTTAGGACCTTCCAAAGTGCTAGAAGGAGGAAGGGAAGAGGTGAGAATGTTGGGAAAGTAAGCACAGTTCTTAACTTGTGGCCCCATTTGTGTTCAAAGCAAATGCTGAGACTGAACAGAAGACAGAAGCTTTGGTTCTGATGTAAAGGAGGCTCTGGAGAAGAGCAGAGTCAGGATTTCCTGGAGCCAGTGCTGGAGTTGGCCTCATGAACTAGGGGGGTTCTTCTTGGCATTAATGTCCTTTTTAATTTCTTCAAGTTTTTTAGCCAGGTTTGGCATGTCCTAATTTTGGGCGAGACATATTCCAACCAGGTTTCTAAAAGTAAATCCAACCAGGAACTGGAGCATAATGTCATGAAGACGGCATGATGGGTGGTGGTACTAATAGCTCTGTGGGCCTATCTTTAAGTCTTAAGCATTTCACACAGTGGTTTACACACACCTTCTTAATACTCAATAAAAGGCTTGAGTTCAATGATTAGAAAGTGGTATCTGGGGAAAAAATGATTAAAAGTGGTCTATCCAATTATTTTACACGTGATTTCCCTCTATATTGGATTCCTAATAAGCTCTCTGACCTATCTGTACAAAGCTAAAGAACTGGGAATTTGTCAAAATTTTTAAGTCCATGAGATTTCCATGTAGTGACACTTCTTAGAAGCTTTCTATATGTTTGCAACTGAAGATTCGGCCAATAGTTTATCCTGAGACTGTGTTATATGAAAAAAATTCACCCCCAAGAGAGACTCAGCCTAAAAAATACTCTTAAACATCAGGAGGATGTAAAAATAAGTCATTGCTTTGACTTCATATACTGGAATTACTGAAGATATCAATTCCCAGGAATACTTAATCACATGAATAGACTGTACTACTGCCTTTCAACTTGCAAGTTCCAGTGAGAAACATCCGTTTCTCATTGCTCTCAACTCTTCAGAACCTCAAACTCTGATTTCTTCAGGCTACAATTCTAGAGTAAGGACTCAGAGCACTGCTACCAGCCGATGTGAAAACAATGATAAATGAGGAGTTTCCATAAGGAAATTGGATGACTTTCCTAAGCCAAAGATCTGAGCTTTATGTCCAAGGCTTATCCACTCAGAAGCTATGGGTTAATTAAGAAAATGGATACTTCACTCCAAGTGAAGAAAACAGAGACTTACTTGTGAGTAACAAGATGGACGTGGAGTGAATATGACGACATGCTCGAGTTTGTATCATGTGTTTAGAAACAATAGTTGAAAGTCCTTTAATTATTTTTCACATTACTATAAATATTCAATATGCAAATGATCCCCTAGTTCAGGAGGAGTATTTTTAAAATATATATTTTATTGATTTTTG